GGAATAGAGACAAAACCTGTGGTAGTAGAAAGGGCTGCAGCAGCAGGTGGCTGTGTGAACTGCACAACATGCAGCCATTCCATTGTGTTAAAATTTGTTTTTTCCTGCCATTGCTTATTGGTGTTTGCCCGTAGAATGGTTCCCTAGAGCCCTCCTTTGTGATTGCTGTGGAAAACCATTGCAGTTCATGGTAAGTTTGAGGACTGCCTTCAACACAGTGAAGTTTGTCACACTCCAGTGGTCTTTCTTAAAAATAAGGATTCAGTTTATTTCTAAAGGAGAATACATGCTTCTCTGTCTCTTTCATTTTCCTTGGAGATTGGATTCAGGGCTCTGTGTGTGTACTGGCAAGAGCTCTACCCGCTAAAACCTGTCCCTGGCTTTTGGCCTTTGCTTTGCTTAAGAATGGCCACCGTGAGCTGCGGTGGAGCTCGGTAGAGAGCTTGCCTAGCCCTGGAAGGTCCTTGGTTTGATCCCCATTGACACAGAAAGGAAATGAAAGGAGGACAAAAAGCTTGCTGTGTTTTACTGGTGTGGGAAAGGAAAACACAAAGATGTTCATGTGTGGTCGCTTTCTCTTCCCTAATCCTGTAATCATCTCCAGAATCAAACTCGGCGCCTCTGGGAGCAGGATCGAGGACACCTATTTGGGTCATAGGATCTACAGTATTTTATCTCTTTCTAGAAAGATGGGCTGATTCCTATTCCCTATCACTAAAGGATGTCTATGTGGAATGGAAGGTCAGAAGAGAGGCTGCAGAATTGGTTGTCTCAGTTTTGTACTGGTACAATTAAAAAAAGAATTAAAACCAAGTTTTTTTTTTTTTTTTTTCCATCTATTTGTAGTGGATATCACCCCCTGTCTATGCTCTTGTGCCCAGTGGGCTCCAGCACCAGGTTCCCTGTAGGTTCTGGATTATTGTCAGGTTTGGCTAAAGGAGAGCAGGGGTAGAAATCTGGGAGAGAAGAGAGAGCCTTCAGGAGCCCGTTCCCCTCGACCCTCCCTGGGCTTTGACCAGGGCTGCGTTTCCCTGCTCGAGTGCACTGACCCTGTTGGAAGGTGTCTCTGTCAGCTCTTTGGTTTCCAACAACTGCTCCATCCCTGTCCTTTCAGGCCTGGGGGAGAGGAGACAGCTTCTCAGGTTCTCATCTTTTTTTTTTTTTTTTAATTTCCTTAACCCTACTGGAATCTTCATTGATGTATTTTACTCTGTAGATTTCTAAACATAAAAAAACATAGGCCACAATATAAACAGCTACAGTTGACCCTTAATAATACACAATTTTATAGGAAATAAAAATATATAGTTAAAGAAAATTCATTTATAATGTCTAAAAGTCACAAATGCTACTTTTAAAAAAAAAAAAAGAGTAACTTTCTAAAAACAGTAATGCCCCGTACATGTCTTTGGTCCAAGTTTAAAATTAAACTAGTTTTTTTGACCTGCTAAAATGATGCTTCTTTCCACAGTGTGTATTTCAGGACATCAAAATGCTTGGTCAATTTTTAAAAAATGAATTACATTGTGATTGAAAGTATAAGTGCATCCAGGGAGGAAATGCAGTGGAGATGGATAGAGGGAGAGGGCTATCAATACTCAAGATGGGGTCAGGGAGATGGCTCAGTAGAATAAGCGCTTGCCCGGCAAGCGCAGGGTCCTGAGTCCAATCCCTGGTACCGGAAAAAAAAAAAAAAAACAAGGAAAGCTCTGCCTGGAAGAGGCCTCATAAGTCAGAGTGGAGAAAATCTTGCATTTGCAGAGAAGAATGCATCTCTCTCCGTTCATGGCTCAAGTAGGGGCCCTCCCTAAATTCAGAAAACCATTAGATTTGGCTTAAACTAAGTGAAGTAAACAAACCTTGGGTTAAGTGAGAGCTAATTGTCTTCTTCTGCCTTTCAAACCCATCAACTTCTAAAGCAGCACGTGTTGTTTTTCTCTTAGTTCACATCATAGGCAACTTGACACGAGCCCAAGAGCGAGAGGAATTATGCGGAGAATGTGTGATGTGGGCGAGTCTTGGCCTTGGACTCGCCTCTGCTGCGTGGAGGATTGGGGACAGATGGCGCTGCTTCTCAAACTTTGGTCTGGCTCTAGGATCCCAAAGGCCCGCAGCACTTGGGCAGTCAGGCTTTCTGCCGGCTTTCCACAGCTCTTAAGCATACCCCGTTCCCTATCTTTGGATCTTTAGAGACTCAAGGCCACAGCTTAGCACCAGACTGTCCAAATACTTTCTTAGGAAAGATGATGAAGGCTATGATGAACCATCTAGGAACCACTTAGCCCAGAGCAGACAGCCGGGGTCCTTCCAGGGGCCTGATATGAAGGCTGGCATTCTTGGGCAAAAATTCACTACAAGTTTTTTCCTTTTGAATTCCACTGATTGTTAGAGGCAAAGAATAAAATCTAGGTCTTCTTTTATCACCAGGTACTTCTCTAATGCATTAGGGTAAGCACTGCTTCTCTTGTTTACCTTGAAATCAGTGAGCTTAACAGGTATGGCTGATGTGATGGGATTATTTATTTATTTATTTTTTTTTTGAACTGGAGATTGAACTCAGGCCCTCACCCTCGCCAGGGAAGCACTTATTTTACTGAGCCATCTGCCTGGCCCTGTGATAGGATTTTATTTTATTTTATTTTATTTTATTTTATTTTATTTTATTTGTGTGTGTGTGTGTGTGTGTGTGTGTGGCTGGCTCAGCCCACCAGGGGGCGGGGCTGGCTGGCATGTGGTGCTGGGGGATTGAACCGCGGTCCCTGTGCTTTGCTAAGCTTGTTCTAAGTAGGTGCTTTAGACCACTGAGCCATCTCACCAGCCCCTGTGATAGGATTTTGACAAAGGAAATTTTTTACGTATCTCACTTAGGTTACCTTTAAAGTGTCATTAATGTAAGTGACTATTACATAGAATTTTCACTTTCAATTTCTTCTGTGTACTTACTGGTGCAAAATGAAAAAAATAAATTTTAGTTGCTGAACATAGTGCAAGGAACAAGAATGCACGAGGAAACAAGGTCTAGAAATCTACTAGTTCTTCATGGCTTAAATTCTTCCATTTCAAGCTCCCACGGTAAATCTCATTTGTACTAGCGATATGCTCCGAATGCCTTCAGGGCAGGTTTGGCTGGCTTGAGTTGTGGGGATCGAACCACAGCAACCTGAGCCTGACTGCTTTGTTGAAGCAGCCACTTAAAGAACTGAGCTAAGGGGCAGGCCCCCAATGTCCAGTCTTTAAAAAAAAAAATTCTCAAGCATTATTCTGGAATTTTTGGGACAGTGAGGTGGGGTGAAGGATTGCAATTAACTCTTCAATTCTGAGATTTAAAAAGTCATCTGATAAAAGGAATCAATTTTCCAGATCCAAAGTAACTTCAGAATTAACTTTATGTGTAGGAATTACCCAAGGGCCTAATTAGTCCTGTTTAGAATAACTTTTTTTAACTTGGCAGACAGAGAAGATTTATTTTTCTGTCTAGATGTTAGTTAAGTTAAATTTTGTCTGGTTTGTTTAAATTTGTACAAATGCAGACCATTTGTTCTTTTTAAAATAAGTGCTGATTTGACATAGATTACTCATGTCGCAATCTCATGTTATCTGTAATGGGCTAGAATCACACTAAGTGATCATCTAGTTTGATAACTACTTATAGGAAGTAGTTTTAAGTAAATAATTCAGTGAGAGTTGGAAAATATTGACAGATAACATATCTCTTTTCAAATAACATTCATAATAATACTCTGCAAAATATAACGTGGTTCTACTGTTTTAAAGATTATACTGGGGCTGGTGGGATAGCTCAGTGGACTAAGCACCTGCTTAGGCAAGCGGAGGGACTGGGGTTCAATCCCCAGCACCATATGTGCCACTGGCCCTGCCTCCTGGGCGCACTGAGCCAGTCACCGAGACCAGGTGTGGTGGCCCACACCTATAATCCCAGTGCTAGGGAGGCTGAAAACAGGAGGATTACTCTGAGTCTGAGCTGCGTGGTGATACCCTGTACCAAATACATAAAGATTATGCTGGAAGACTGAAAACTGATAGCAAAACTTCCAATGCCAAGGACTCATTGAATATTTTATAGTCTCATTTACAATGCAATCACACTTTAAAAACCTGCCAAGTCAGGCCAGGAGTTTGGCTCAGTGGTGGAGCTCCTGTTTCACTGTGGTAGGCCCTAGGTTCAACCTACCGCTGCCAAAAGACAACAAAACCCAAAGCAAAATGCTGTTCATATTAAATGTAACATCTCCACTTTTGTTTTACTTGAAAGATACTATATCTACATTATTTATAAAATGTTATTTGGGTAGTTCATGAAGTATTCCATTTTAAAATTCTGTTTGATAGTTTTTTTGGTAACATTTCACAGAAGTTTGCACAGTGACTATGATTAAACTGTGTAAATTTGCTGAAATATTTTGATGCTGAGTTTACACTATGCCAAACATTTAGAAATACACTAAGAGATGACTCATTGTTACATGATTTCTTATATAGTATGACTCAAACCATGTTCCTTAAATAAAAACACAGACAGATGAATTTTGCTGTAACCATCAACTTAAAAAGAATATTTTAGGAAGGGACTTAATATCACCTGAACAGAGCTCCAGAATATATGATTTTTTTTTTTTTTTGTATTTTAGGGAAGGGTCTACAAGTTGTTCAGGGTCTCACTACTAGATTGGACTCATAGTGATCTGCCTGGTTACAGCCTCCCAAGAGCTGGGATTACAGATGCGTGCCACCACGCCCAGTCTCTACTGCTGTCTCAGTGTGCTCCAGGAAAAGGGCTGGTACAGCAGGCCCGGGGATCAAACCCTTGGCCCCTGGACTTGCTTGTAGATGTTTTAATCCACTGAGCTATTTGGCTAGCCCTTCAGAATATATGAAGAATGGGCTAAAGTTTCAAGTTTTCATCCCAATACTTGGCTTCAGCTAGTCACATACATCCACATCCACTCCCCCGGAAACAGAAAGAAGAGCATCACTCACAATTAACTGTCTTAACAACCATTTTATTATTTCTGGTTGAGAAGAAAATTCCTACAATCTTCTTGATTAATATCAGTATAGGGATGTTATGAAATAAATAACCTGGCCATTGGACACAGGATCCCTAAAGGGCGGGTGTAACAAACTGATACTACCTCACGGAGTCGGCCCTGGTACATGAGTAACACTAGAGAGACCAGAGAGCGCTCCCACCGTTACAAACATCAGGGTAAAAGTGCCAATGACTTTTGACATCATCGTCCAAGCCAAGGGACCCTTAAATAATCACAGCACAGCAGCTCGGCTGTCTTGGGTGCTTCTGCATGTTGATGTGCTAAAGAAACGCATGAGGTTTCACTTAGCCTGATTCTGACTCTACACTATGTTTATAACAGCAATAGCACAGACATTTAACATAGGAAAGACAAACCACACACCACGTGTTCTGTCGTGCAGCAGGAAAGCTTACATCAGAAGCTCACTGGATCTTAAGGACTGGTTGTTCCTCCCCACACCACACACAGTCCGCAGTGGGGAGAGGTTTTATCGACACCTCCAACACCTTCCATGAAGTATCCTGTCAGCATGCCTGTAACTCAAAGCATGGCTGAGATATTTGTTTACTGTCTTTTATTAGGGTAGTTTCACTGTGTTTATATGCTAGTCTTTTACATTTCTCCAAGGAGCCATTTCCAAGTGTCTCCGAGAGGCCGCTTAGCAAAGGACACCCTCATGACTGTCCACAAAGGTCAGCCTGCTTACTGGCGTTGGACTGCGAAGAACAGGAAGTTTGTGCTACGTCTTGAGTCCTTAGTGGAGTCTGACAACACAGGACAGAACGCATGAGTCTCAGGACAGGAGGTCTGAGGATGACGAAGACCCAAGGGTCAATGATGGAATTAATTGATAAAAATCTAAGAGCTTGGAGGTCCCACTTTTTCTTTCGGGAAGAGGTTTCATTCATATATGCAAAGATCTGTAAAAAGCAAAGGGGAAAAATGATGTTAGTTTACACTGTAGCAATGGACAGGCTTACATCCCCTGCTAGTTCCTGTAGTCTAACCATGTTTTCTTTTTTGGTAGTGGTGGTAAAGAGGGTGGGTAGCAGGGGCTTGGGAGATGGCTCAGCGACATAAGCACCTGCCTGGCAAGCTGCAAAGTCCTGAGTTCAATCCCTGGTACTGCAAGAAAAAAAGAAAAAAGAAAAAAAAAAGTGTGGGTAGCAAAACTTCATCCTTCTTCCAAGTTTTCTATGGATTATAATTAACATGGACATCATGCACAACTGTTTTGTCATTGGAAAAATGTCCAATACCAAATACTCTATTGAATATTTTGTACTGTCATTTATAATGCAATCATACTTTAAAAACCTGTCAAATTGCAGACAAGAATATGGCTCAGTAGTAGAGGTTTTCTTGATACTTGGAATAAAATCTTTTAAAAATAACAATAGTAGTAATAATAGTGTTGTGTTTGGGGTATTGTAAGGGGAACAACACAGGACACATAATTCATAAGATTATTTTATAACAGTCACCCAAAGAGTCATATATATAAAAGAGTGCAGGGAATTTGTCCACACACTAAGACTAAGGAATGCAGCTGAGAGCCTGGGTCCCACGGCAATGCCCTACATGAGTGCAGCTGAAGACCTAGAGCCCACCACAATGCCCCCCACAAGTCCACTGGAGGCCAAGCCCCCACAATAATGTTCCATGCAAGCCTGTTTCATAGATCTGCACGGGGAAGGCCCTAAAGGCAGTGGTGGAAGCTAGAAAGTCTGTGCCTGCAGGCTGAGGGGTCTGCAGTGGAGCCAGGAAGCGACACTCAAAGCAAGCACCAGAGATCCCTGGAAAGTACCATAGTCGTCCTCAGCAACAGTGAGGTTCTGAGCTCCTCTGGCGATGAGAACAGCCAAGTCTGTATCAGGAAATCCAGGGCAACAAGCTTCTCCGAGACACTGAACAATGCACCATCTTCCTCTCTGGAGCCAGGAAGTGATGCTCAAAGAACCGGAGCTCCCCCAAAAGGAACTGCAGCTATTTCCAATGACAAGGTCCAGAGCTTCTTTGATGATAACAGTTGAGTTCATTAGGAAAGCCAGCATGACAAAGTCATCTAAGAGAACCAACAGCAGCCCCAGGAAAACGAACAGGTCCAGCAGCTCCCCGCACTTCTCTTCTTCTCCAGTTCCGCCTCTTACGCTGCAGGCAACAACCCTCAGGTGGGCCTCGCACACCCAGCACCACGTTGGTTCAGCTCAGCTGGGTGTTACAAGCTGACCTCCAGTTACCAGTCCATCCCAATAATATGCCTTGATCAATAGCTTAATGTATGTGTCATGAATTGTACTAGCTACTAAAACTGCTTTATTCGTAGTCCTTACAAAAACTGGGAAGCTTAAGCATTATCTCCCTTTAACAGATGAGGAGGCGATCTTCAGGAATGTTGATAATAGCGTGTCACATCTCTTTCCAAATCCCTCATCTGCTTTAATTCAGCAAGACGGGGCAAGCAGCATATTACCATCAGTAGGAGCACGGGCGCTGGTCGCGGAGCTGCTTCGGCTGAATCATAGCTCTGGATATAGCTTTAGCATCACAGATAAGAAAACTAATCTTTGTGACTCAATTTCCACATTTGTAAAACAGCGATAACAATCACAATACCTAGTTCACAGGGATGCTGGTAGCATGCCAGGAAGATGTGTGTTAGCTACTTTCACGCGCTCATGTGATAAGGAATCCACAGCATGAGTTACTATTATCTCCACTTCAGTGATGGGACCACTGAGGCGCAGAAATGTTAGAGACTTTCCCGAGTATCCAGCGCTGTCCAGTGGCTCAGTCAGGATACAAGTTCTAACTCTCCAGCTGCCTGTGCGTGGCTCATTGTGAGGGATTTCCAGGCTCCTGTTAGAGCACAGGCTCCTAAGCACCGGGGAACAGATGCATCTCTACACTTGTGTCTGTTTTTAAAATTGGTTGCCTCCCTCTTACCTGATTCCTTAGCTATTTCGGAAGCCCTAAAACTTTTTGGTCAGATTGGAAGGAATGGAACTGTACGACTCGGTAGAGATAGAGTGCTTCCATGTAGTTTACAGACAGGAGAAAGACAATCGTGGATCAGGCGTAGGCACTGGGCTTCAGGGACTTTTTGAGTTGTGGTAGTCTCTGACTTAGGGAGCCACCCTCTCCTTCCCTAGAGAAAGAAGGAATCGCAATCATTTATTCCCCCCAACCCCCACTGACTCTGCAGGCCGCTGAGAACTGGACGTACCAAGAAAATTGCAGGAGAGAGAAAAGTACTCATCTTGGGTTGCTTATGTTAGGACAACAGCAGAAAGGGTTGGCAGCCAGAGGTGTTTATGCCAGAGAATCTTGGCATAGGGAGCGGAGAAAACATTTGGCAAAAGAGCAAGGAGAAAGAAGAATTGATAGTGGGTTTCTCAGATCACAGAGAAAAGAAAGCAGACAGCGATATACAATGGAGTGTCAGTTTTGTCAATTAAACTACTTCAGATGTGAGATAATACAGTCTCGTGTATTCAAGAGGTGATTTCTAACAGAGGTTAGAAATTTAGGATAATGATGTATGTGAATCTGCTGGATGAAAATACATGAATCAGTACACACGTGTACATGCCTAAATTAACACGTTAGTATGCAAAAGTCTGCAGCTGACTGCGTGCTTTAGTTTCCACAGAGAACGTGTTAACACTTGAGTGGCCAGGAGGACAAGGGGAAGGCCTGGCATCTGCTGCCACAGGTCCCTCGCCCCCTGTGACGATGAGTCAGGCTTTCTGCAGAACCTTCCCTGCAGCTCCCCAACTGCTTTGAGCATGACAGGGGAAAGAGAAGTGAGAGAGGCCTTCAGAGCGTGAAGCAACTCTGTACTCTCTCCTTTCCTTTTCACCCACCACAGAGGGTAATTTTTAGAGTTGCTTAAAATATGCATTTTAGGAGGTGGCCAACAGTTTGTGGAAGACCATTTCTTCTTCAGTGACCTTCGTTGTTCTTGTCTTTGACCTTCCTGCTTTCTCCTCTGGGTCTTGGTTTTTTTTTTTTTTCATCTAGAGTTTACCACTTTTTGCAGCTTGTTTTGTTTTGTTTTCAACCATGATAAAATATACACAATGTAAAGTTTACTATTTTAGCTATTTTCAGGTGTAGAAGTCAGTGGCCTGAAGTACAGCCCTGCTATTATCAAACTACATCGTTAGTGTTTTAATTTTTTCTGCATACAATGATTTGAGAGAAGTGTCTTCTTTTTTTTTTGTCATTTGAGACAGGGTCTTACTATGCAGTTCAGGCTGAATTCACTATATAGCGGAGGCTGGCTTTGAACTCACAGAGATCCTTCTGCCTCAACTTCCTGAGTGCTGGGATTACAGGCTTGCGCCACCACCCCCGGCACTAAACTAATCTTTTAATGATTAAAAAAAAAAAATCTATTAAAATCCTTAGACTGGCCGATTCTTAGATGCAGCAGAGGACTCAGCTGGGCAGGTGTCTTTGACTCACAGCAGTACTAGCTAACCCAAAAACGTCCCCTAGGCCAGAAGCCAATATTCGTCCACCTTAATCATCCCAGTATCAGGACCTGCAACTGGGCACTGCTCTGTCCCTAGGGCTTACAGCCTGCTTCAGCTATTCCAAGTAGCCGATCCTGAACTGTCCACCTTGCCGTCTTGCCACCCCAGGGGAGGCTGTGGCCCAGCCCTCCCCCGCCCCATTCCCTGAGCCTCTTCCACGTCACCTTGTAAGTGCACTTGACCAACTGTGACCTGAAACAATGAACTGCAACTGTCCCCACCATCTGTCTCCACACGAAAGCCAAGCCTGTGTCTCCCTAGCCACGCACCCTGCAGCCTAGCTGACCCCGAGCTTTTAATGAGTTGCATGGGCCACCGGTGATGAGTCAACGCTGTGTCTGTGAAATTCTACAGTTCCGATTCTGAGTCTGGTGGAATTTGTGTGCTTTTTGCATATACATCTAATGCATTCACTGTGAGAAAAATACCAAGAGCTAACATAAAAGCATGTCAGTTTTAATTTTGTAGGGAAGGTCCTCCCTTTCCACAGGGATTTCAAAAACCATGGGGCTTGTGACAGTCACAAATGGCACAGATGAGAATTATTTGTGCTACTTTGGAGTTGTCTGAAGCAGCTTCCCATGGAAAACTTCAGGGGCTGTTTATTTAAACCACTTTCCTGTCTTTAATTGCATTAGGAAGTGGGTTCAGAAATTTAGGGTAAATGAGGACAATGTTTGATTGATCATTGAAATCGTGTAGGGAGCTTTAAAATATTCCAATCTGATTTCCAGTACTAATCAATCAATCAATCAATTTAGACGGGGCTAGGATATGGCTATGCTAATGGATGCTGAGGTTGAGAACCATAGCTTTAGATTTTTTTTTTTTTAACCTAAAACCTGAAATGCTTTCAAATATTCATTTATCTCACTCAAAAAACAAAAGACTCACTTTGGTCTGGTCAATCAAAATAATGAGCTTCTAGCTTCAGTCCCTGCTCATTAACACACAATCTGGTTTATTTTTGAAAATTTAGTTGCACGGAGATGGCCGCTGACACTAAGGGCAAAGTTATCACTGCGCTCTATACGGCGCTGAGCAAATTAAAAGCCTTATTTGGTTTAATCCTATACAAACCCACCAAGTCTTATTATTCCCATTTTAGAGAGGAGGAACCCAAACTCACACTCTGGGCCAGTAGGGAATGACGACGTCAATCTGAAGTAGTGGGAAACCAAATGCAGCCACTACTTAAGCCACTACACACCGTACGGTCATCCAAATAAAGAGCTTCTGAAATAAGGTTCCGGATGAAACTCACAAGGGACAGGCAGGCCCATGGGCTTGTGGGAAACTTCCCTTCAAAGGTGTCCTGAGGGCTTGTGGTGATCACTATTCCTGCTAATAGATGGGGGAACTATCTCTATCCAAGTAGC